GTGCTGGGTGTGGCCCGATGCATTTCTTTTTTTAAAAAAATATGAGTATTTATTAAAAGCAAAATCCGGTAGTAGAAATTAATCAAGTCAGAGATGAATTAGATATGGTGTCAGCCTTCAGGAAGCTGACAACCCTGGAGATCAGGAAAATGTCCTGGAAGGATTCACAAAAGAGAGTGAGTTTAATAGAAGGAAGCAGAAAAAGTTGAACTGATAGGGTGGATTTTCCAGGGGGAGACTGGGTGGAAGGTGATGAACATTTCCCAGGAGGGCTTAGAGCAGAAAGCACAGAGTGGCCCCTGGGCTGACACACTGGGAATGGGAGAGAGTAGAGGAAAGGCAGGTCAGGCTAGGGGGAGGAGATCTGTGGGGTCCACTAAAGAGCTGGGCTGGACAATACAGGCAACTGAGACCAAGGAAGGCCCTGAAGCAGGGAGTCACACAACCAGAGGTCAGAGTCCATCTTCAGCACTTTAAATGCTTGTAAGGTTACTAGCTATGGGAAGCATGGCCCTGTACGTTAACATGTACCTTTAGAAAACAATGACTCTTCACTTATTAATTCAGATAAACTGTGTACAAATAAGAATCGACCCTTAGTCCTTCTCCACCATGTGAGTCTAAGAGATTTTTAGCAAATTCACACATTCCTTCACCTCTCTTCATAACAGAATTGCCCTTCTCCTCCTGTCTTGGGTGCTCAGGGTTACGTGATCTGGTAACAGTGAAAGCTCACAACACAGCCTCATCAGCAAGTTAGGAAACAAGTATCCTGCATGACTGGAAATCTAGTCAAAGTTCCATATTTGTGTTCCTTTTCTTTCTCTTAAATTTTACTAGATATAACCAGCCCTTAACTAAGAAACTCTGTCCTAAGCTGATGCTAATTACCAGAGGAGAAAAACCAAACCCTGACCATTCTCTTCAGAGAAGCTTAATGCTCTAGCTAGCCCTGGATCATGGATTCTACCACTTTCTATCTGTGTAGCCCTTAATAGGTCCACAGAAAAGCAGTGTAATGTGCATAAGCTCCTGTGGGCAAACCAGAATGCCATCTTACAAAAATCCCCAGACAGGAAAGGGACACAGCCCTGCTCTGAGAGCTGTCACACCTTCATGTGTGCTGGAGGAAGAACAGAGGATGAGAGAGTGTGAAGAGTCCTCCTAGCACAGAGCAACCCTGAAAGGAGTACACAAAATTGAGTGCCCCTTTCAAACTGGAACCAGGTCAGCCAGACCCGGTTGTCAGTAGGCGGCAGTCATCAGGCATCTGGCAGCTGGGCTTGTGGCCCACACTGGGCTCCCGCCACTGCCACACGGCGTTCCCTTTGATGGGTCAGCAATATCCTCTGGGCTTCATGTTTGCTATGTTTGAATGCTTGAAAGTTTGTCTCCTCCAAAATTCATGTTGAAATGTAAATGCCATTGTAACAGCATTAAGATATGGGGCCTCTAAGAGGTGATCAGGCTGGGCACAGTGGTTCATGCCTATAATCCCAGCATTCTGGGAGGCCAAAGAGGAACGATCACTTGAGCCCAGGAGTTCAAGACTAGCCTGGACAACAAAGAGAGACCTCGTCTCTACAAAAAATAAAAAATAAAAAATTAGCTGGGCATGGTGGCACATGCCTTTAGTCCCAGCTACTTGAGAGGCTGAGGTGAAGAAATTGCCTAGCCCGGGCAGTTGAGGCTGTGTTGAGCCTTTGGGAGGCTGAGGTGAGTGGATTGCCTGAGACCGCGGGTTCGAGACCCACCTGGGCAGCGAGACCTTATCTCCACCAATAAATAAAAAAATCAGCCGGGCGTGGTAGCGCATGCCTGTAGTTCTGGCTACTCGGAAGGCTGAGGCGGAAGGATCGCAGGAGCCCAGCAGGTCGAGGCTGCGGTGGCCGGGAGCGGCCACTGCACTCCAGTCTGGGTGACAGAGTGAGACTCCAACTCAAAAAAAAAAAGGCAAGTGCAGCCCTCTCTTGCCGGCTCTAGTTCACAATCATCCTCTCTTTCTCCTTCTCGCTTTCCACGTGGAATGATATAGCAAGAAGGCCCTCACCATATACTGTCATCTTGATATTGGACTTCCCAGTCTCCAGAACTGCAAGAAAATACATTTCTGTACATTATAAATTACCTAGACTGTGGCATCCTGTTACAGTAGTGGAACATGGGCTAACAGTGTTCTTTATCTATAAAACAATAACATACCTAGGTCTCTACCATCCTGACAGATTAAAACAAGCCAACCTCCACTCAGCCCCTCTGGCCCTCCAAACTACTTGGACCCTCTTCTTTCCCAGGAAGTCAGTGGGACACTGAGGACTGGCCAAGGTGTGGGGACACACTCAAGGGCAGACTTCAAGCCTCCCGAGAAACTGCAGAAGACTCTTCCCAGTCACTCTGATGGCCTGGAGTTGGGCAGGGCCATCCTGAGCCTATGTGCACCCCAGACTTGTGAACAGCCCAGAAGAGGTCACTGTGTTGGACGGTGGAGGCAGCAAGACCACAGCTGTACTTTCGAGTGACTGAAGGCTGGGACCTGGCAGAAGATCATTTATTCATTCAGAATCTACATTCATCGTAGTATGAATGGTTTCTCTTTTTAAAAAAAATTAAGCTACAAACTATTGGCACTTACTTATTTTCTCCCAAAGCACTTTGTTTCTGGTGGGGAAAAATAATTCTCCTCCATGTTTACCTTTTCTGTATGCCTCCTATTTTCAGGACATTATCACATAAGAAAGAAATAAAATGTCTTTTAATTTCAACCCAGGGAGCCCTGCAGATGTCCTCTGAGGCTCTGGATACTGCCATAGATTTTTGCAAATAATCTACTGAGCACTTAACATGACAGAAAGAAGCAGGTCTGCCTGTACCTACCCACCAACTGGCAGGGTGGTCCTACGGCTCTCAGGAACCTACTATCACACAAGGGGCTGGAAAATCCTCAGCAAACTATGGGTGAGACTGGGAGCCACAGTGCCCAAACAGAATTCTAAAGGGGATTCTTGCCTCCTGTTCTGGGGCCCCTTGAGGGAGAGCCCACATGACTTAAATAGCACATCTGGAGGGATTCCACAGCCCTGTCTTTATCTTGTTAGAAACTGAGCTTTCTGCTTTTCAACAGTTGTTACCTTGAAGGGAAGCACACACTGAACTCATTCACATATATTAAATAACCACTGTGTGCCAGTATTATAACAAGCTCTGTAGGAAACACAAAAGAAACAGGAGATAAGGTACAAACTCAATACCTTGCAATCTAAAAGTCAGAAGATACAGACAGACTAAGCACAAAAGTAGCTGCAACAGAAGGCAAGGTAAAAATCAAGCCCAAGTGTGTGTGGGAGTAATTAAGGCTGTCTTAATCCTCTGCCAGCTCGTCTGTGAGCACCGTCCTCCAAAATCTATGGCTGGCACATTTTTTCAGGGGACATGACTGACAAGAGAGTTAAGCCCAAGACAGCAGTGGACAAAAGTTAAAGGATAACAGCTTCCTGTCTGTCTCCATTCTGGGTTTTCCTCCTGACCTTGGCTCCACCAGTGATAACACCAGAGACATGGTCATACTTGGCAACAGAAACCTGCTTTTACTACGCGGGGCAAGAATGGGAGTGCTCACCTTTGTTTCTGCCTAATAAACAAGGTGGGAAGTACTCTGATTATACAATCAAAATCCCTCCAAGGTTTTTCTGAAAGCTGTCAACCAACAAGGAAGACCCTTGCTCTGAAAAGGTGACCTCAAACCTGGAAGGTTAGTTCATTCCCATCAGACTTAGTCACTACCTTCTGTTTGCTTGTCTGCCTGACTATTCCTCTTAAAGACAGTTGTCTAGTTGTCTCATCTGCCCATTTCTGGCCAGTTACATGCAGTCCCATAACATGCTCTATGTACTTAGAGCTCTTCTTTCCCAATCTGTGCCTGGTCCCAATGCAGTATTAAAGGCAAATACATTGCTAGGAAGAGACAACACAGGCTTCCTTGAGGGTGAAACTGCATGGAAGAGAGTCTCAGGGCTCCTCCCCCAGACTGGCTCTGTGGCAAGTCGCCCAAATTCCCTCTTTTTTCACTACCCTGTTTCCCCAGCCAACCCACCCCCTCTTTTTGTTGTAAGGAAATGTCCACAGATGCAGCTGTATTCAGATGGGATGCCCACATTAGGACTAGTGTGTGTGCAAGGGAGGGACGTGTCAGATGCCAATGGGATGATATGAATATACAAGAAGAAAGGTTTTCTTCTTCTCAAATGGAGGAGAACACAGACTCCCTGTTCAACTCTCTCTGTAACGTACAAATATTGATGTATATTAATAAGAAGGCCAGGCCAGGCAGGGCCAGGCTCACAACTGTAATCTCAGCACTTTGGGAGGTCGAGGCAAGAGGACTGCCTGAGTCCAGGAGTTTGAGAACAGCCTGGGCAATGTTATTTATTTTTTGTATTATTCTACAAAAAATAAATAAATAAATAAACTAACCAGGTGCAGTGGTGCAAGCCTGTAGTCCCAGATACAGGAGGCTGAGGTGGAAGGATCGCTTGAGCCCAGGAGATGGAGGCTATGGTGAGCTATGATTGCACCACTGCACTCCAGCCTGGGCAACAAAGTGAGACTCCACTAAAATTAAATAAATAAATACATAAGAAAGCCAAATGTACTATGAGTGTATGCATAGACATGAGCTAGCTCTTCCAAAGTTCTAAAATGACTCCTGTCTGAGGCAAGATGAAGAGATGGAAAGAGCCCCAAGAAGCAGAGTGCTGACCCACAGTGCTTAGCAAGATGGGATCTGTTTATACGTCACTACATATGGAGGGCCTGTTGTGGCCACATCCTATACTAAGTGCTACTGGAACACCTTGAATTCCTCTTTGGAAAGGGATGTTTTGCCTCTGGCCCCTTCTCTTTGTCCCTGGTCCCCGCCAAATGCAGAGTTGAGAGCATTTACTTACACATAACCCACTGCCAAACTCCCAAACCAAGAGAAAATGGTGAACAGTGATGCTTACCCCGCCTCTGAGGTTCTAGAAACAGAAGCGCCCTGGGGCTCCCCGTGGCCTCTTGGTGTGCTGCGACGGCTTTCAGAGTCACTCCCGGGTCCCTTCCCTGTGGATGTCTTGTGATGCACAGAGGCTGCAGGCCCATCCTCATGCCCATTCAGCAGGCCATGGCCGGTTCGTGTCCTTGTCCTCCCTGGTCGGCGTCCCTCAGAGCTGTCCTCGTGTGGTGCTGGGCGGTCTCTCGCCAGTTTGTATCCATGAGAGATCAGGAGGTCTTCCACACTGTACATGGTGCCCCGGCTTCATCAAGGCTCACCCGCAGGAACCATGGTGGTGGCAGGACCCAGCACTGATGGGACAACAGAGAGCTCTGTTTGTGACTGGTTCTCCTCCCTCTATTCCCACCAATCCAGGCCATTGTGAGGGACACAGCACTTCAGAAAGTAGAGAGACATGGGCTGCCCTGCCTGAGTTATTCTCTGTCCTATTTGAATGGAAGAAGTGGAGACTGCATGGCTCTACAGGATGGGGTGGCAGTCCTAGGAGCTTACCCTCTGATGACCGCCTCCCGCAGAAGAGTCTGGAGTCATCTCCTAGCAGTGATGTGACTCTCCCTGCCCACTGTCCCCTTGTCAAACTCACCTAGAAACGGCAAGCAGATGTGAGGACAATAAATACAGACACAGAGCTGCAATTACTACTTTGGGTTTCTAAAAAGAGAAACTGCCAATGCCTAGCTTCATCACACCGCACTTCCCTGCTTTCATCTTGGGGACATACCTTGGGCTCTGCAAGGGCAGAGTGGGCTCTGTAATCAACACACAGCCAGGACACCCGCCAGCAGAAGTCATCTAGCTGGCGCTGCCCGGGCAGCTGCCCTGTGGGAGGTCACTAGCGGCTGATAATAGGTTTTAGGTCTTTAGGCTCATAACCAGAAAACAAACACCACGTGGATCAGGCACACACCCTCGCCACGACAGAACCTGGCCATTCTCCTTCCCACACAAAGCTTCATCAGTCGACTTTCTTCCCAGCAAGTCTTGGGAGAAAGGTCTGGCCCTCTTAGCCGAGGGTATCCACACCCAAATGCTGCCATGGTACCTTAGACAACTGTACCAACTTCCTCTGGAACTGACTGCCCAAAAGCAGGAGAGCCAACTGAGAGGAATAAACTCAGACAGAAACCCACAGAGTGCAAAACATGGGTACCCAAGTATGTATCTCTGCCTGAGAGAACCTTCTTTTCTAAGTCTCCTGGAGACTTCGAGAGGATATAAGGCAGATGTGGTGAGGCAGAGCCACCACCACCTCCGCAGGACTGGCTATGACGGAGCCCAGGGAAGAAGCCCACCAAAGCCATCCCCATGGAGAGTCCAGTCAGCTCCAGCCCATGTGGCTGGGGGCCGGAAATAGAGCCCCTGTGCCCACCGTGAACAATGTCTGTGGCCCGCAGGTAAAAGGGAGATACTGTGCTTCCTGCCCCTGCAGGCACACAGCTCTCAGGAGTGTGTCCTCACTCTCACCACCTGCAGGGTTGGTTACGGAAGTAGGAACTTGCAGTGTCAGTGTGGAGAGCAGAGACCTTTGAAAGTCTATCCCTTCCATCATGTCACTTCACCTTATGGGAGGCTGACGAGCGCAGACTCCTAGAAGACTCTCCCCAGCAACCCGGCCACTCAGGAAACTCCTGCCCTGTGTCCTTCAGGAGGTTGTGGAACTCGGGTCATTCATTCATGCAGAGAGGCAAGCACCTATACACAGGTTCCACCAAGCAAGTCGCCGGCTAGGCACCATGGAGGAAAGAGGCCCTGCTACCAACACATGGCTACGGAGCACAGCGTCAGGAAGGCAGGGTCTCTGTTCTGTCCAGGGCTACGTCCAATCTCCAGCATGTAGTGAGCTCTCAATAAGTACTTGTAGGGTGAGTGCACAGTTGAGGAAAAGGAACATTTGAGCCAAGTTCTTAAGAAGGACTAGGTTCATTAGATAAATTGCAGCATGTGTGTCTGTACGAAAGAAGAGAAACCGGCACTCAGAATGGACCGTGGACATGACCACCCCATGAGCACAGAAGTGGCTCTTAGGAGCATCCCAGTAGCCTAGACCACAGTCTCCAGACCCACTGGCTCAGCATTGCACATCTGGTAAACTGAGGTCCTGTTTCCTTCTCTTACTATGCCAGGCTACAAGAAAAGCAAATTGGCACTGCACTCAAATGGCCATCCAACACCGGAGAAACAGGCACCCATCTATCAGAGCAGCAGAGAAGCAACCCCCAGGGAACACATCTGGGGGTCATTTTCCAACTGGACAGGTTGGTCCGACATGGCCATGCATTTGCATGGTAATTATACTTAACCAGGATAGCTTTCCATTCGTAGGTAATTGGTTCTTCCTCCCCACCTCCCCATAAAACTTCTCTCTACAAACCACTAGGAGAAAACTGTGTTACACACTTGGAATCACAGCACAGGAGAGACAGTAATAACATCAACCATCCATGAGCACCTGCGATGTGCCAGACAATTGAGTTCATTTTATACTTCCAGCAAACTTCCCGATGTGGACAGAAATGTCTCCATTTTACAGACAAGAAAATTGAGGCTGAGAGTCCAAGGTTAAACAGCTTGTCAGTGGCAGAACCAAGTTCTGAGGTCTGCCTAGCCTCAAAGTCCATGCTACTATTTTAAGGTCACTCATCTGTATTTCCTTCCTTCACATCAACAAAAGTTTTCCAGTTTATCTAATGACGCAGATGCAAAATGAGAAGAAATAGAAGACAAGGGCAATAAATTTAAAATTACATTTTTAAATTTATTTTTGAGTTGGAGTCTCACTCTGTTGCCCAGACTGGAGTGCAGTGGCACACTCCCAACCACCGCAGCCTCGACCTGCTGGGCTCCGGCGATCCTTCCGCCTCAGCCTTCCAAGTAGCCAGAACTACAGGCGTGTGCTACTACGTCCAGCTAATTTTTGATTTTATTGTAGAGATGAGGTCTCGCCAAGTTGCCCTGGCGGGTCTCGAACCCGCGGGCTCAGATAATCCACTCGTCTCAGGCTCCCAAAGCGCTGGGATTACAGGCTGAGCCACCGAGCCCGGCTAAAAAAATTACATACATTTAAAGGGAAAAAATTCTCCTTTATTCTGTGGGAGTATGATGGCTCTTCCAGATGACTCCTTCCTCACACACACACCACACACACACCACACCACAGACACTCCACATACATACCATACCACACCTCCCCACACCACACCATACCACAGACACCCCCCACACACTCCACATACATGCCACACCATACCACACACACACTATACCACATCACACCACACACACCCTACACACCACACTATACCACACATACCCCACATACACACCATACCATACAACACACACCCCAAATACATACCACACCATATCACATACATCCCACACACACCACATACACCATACCATATATACCTCACATGCATATCACACTATACCACACACACCACATACACACATACCACACACAGCTCATACACACATCACACACACTCCACACACACTCCACATACACCACACCATACCACACACAGCCCACATATACCATACCACATACACACCACAGACATTCCACATACACCACACCATACCACACACAGCACACACACCATACCACACACAGCACACACACCATACCACACACAGCACACACACCATACCACATACACACTACACATACTCCACATACACCACACATATTCCACACACCACACACACCACATATACTCCACACACACCAACACCCCATAAATACATACCACACAAACCACCTACACCATACCACATACACACCACACTCCACATATGCCACACACACTCCACACACCATACTACAAACATACGACACATACATCACATACTCTCCACACACACCACACATACTCCACACACACACCACACAAACCAAACACTCCACACATACCACATATACCACACACACAAACCATACCACACACACACACCACACACACTTCACACAACCACACTCCAGACACCACAGACCACAGACCACATACACACAACATACAATCCACACACGCATGTATACCACACATACTCCACACACACACCACATACCATATACACTCCACATACCACATATACACCACACAAACTCTACACACATATACAAAACACATCACCCCACACACAACACACAACACATCCACCACACACAACACACACCACATACACACACCATATACACTCCACACATACTCTACACACACATCACACCACACACACAACACATACCACATACACCACATATACACACCACATCACATACATACACATCACATACATACCTCATATCACATACATACATTACACTCCACACACACCACATCCACACCACACATGCTCCATACCATACTACATACACACCACACACACTCCATACATACTCCATACACATACCACACATATCACAGACAAGAAAGACCCACACCACACACATGCCACATACACACTGCACATACACACCATGCATATTTCACACACATACCCACACCACTTGCACACCACATACACTCCACACACACACCACACACAACACCACATACACATACCACACCACATACACTCCACACACTATACACACTCCACACACATCACACATACTCCACACATACCACACACACTACACATACACCAAACCACACACACTCCACACACCACACCACATCACAAACACACACTACATCACATATACACCATACACACCATACCACATACACACCACACACAATCACACACTCCACACACTACATACACCACACAACTCTACACACCCTATACATGCACCATGCAGACTCTACACACACCACACACACGTCACACACATATTATACATGCCCCACACACACCACACGTTCCACATACACACCACACACTCTACATTCACCAAATACACTTTACCCAACTCCACACCACACTCTACACACACACGCACCCTACACACACCACGCACTCCACATTCACCACATACACGTCACACAACTCCACACCACACTCTACACACACACGCACCCTACACACACCACGTACACTCCACGCACACCATATGAACTCCATACACTACAACACACACACTCCACACACATTCTACACACTCATTGTGCATACACACAAACACACACACACAAGGACTGACTGTAATATCTTGATGGCAAGTTGGGGTTAATTTTTAATACTCAGTAATATGATTCATTTGCAAATGTCCCATTCACAGACCCCTTCCATCATCT